GGTCGTTCTCTAAATTAGGGTCCCCTTTTTAGGTCCCCAATATAATACGGCACCCTTCTAAAAAAGACCCTAAAAAGGGACCCCAATTTAGAAAACTACCCATGGGAGTTTGAAGGAGGACTCGCGATCCTAAGCTCGAGATCGCAAAGCTGAAATCCTAGACCCCAAGCCTGCGGGATCCAAATCCGTAAGTGTAGGGGCCTAAACAATTTCCAATACTGGCCAACACTATGTTGGGGGTTCCTTCTTATAATTGTAGTATAATGGGCCCCAAAACCTTTTTTCCAACCCTAACCCAAAAGCACCTCAATTCCAGAACGGGGGCTGGCAGTCCCGTCGGCTGCCTGCCAGCGCGGCGAGTGCGAGGGGACCCCGAGAAACAACACGTGCACACAGGCATGCCCCAAACCAGAAGGCGAGAAGGTGAGGGATGTTTAGTGCCTTGGTTCATTTACGCAGGAAAACCCCTAAACCCTAAATGCAAACCCTAAACCCTAAACCCTAAACCCTAAACCCTAGGCCTTAGGTTTTGGGGTTTAGAGGAAAGGGGGTTTTAAGGCTTTGGCTCAGGCCTAGCCTTACGAATTTCCGGCTGCTTTGCGACCAGCTGTGCAGATTACGCCTTTCCACTTGCACAAAGGTCCTACCTTAACCCACCAGAACCTCCCTTTTTTTAGGGTCCCTATAAGTCCCATATTAGGGTTTATAATGAGAACCTAATTACAAAAAAGTGGGTTTTGGTGGGTTCAGGTAGGCCATAAACGCCGAGACTCGGACACCCTAACTCTTACATTTCGAGCTTGAGACAGGCCGCTAGTGAAAAACCTCCGCGTCGCAGATCTGATTCAGACGTGTTTCAAGGGAGGGATTCAGAAAGCCCGTATGACAAGAACCTCTCCCCAAGTTCTATATATCCACCTGCCCGGACTGCTCAGTGTGAAGCCTTACAGCGGACCTCCTGGAGCCCAGATCTCAAACTCTCAAACCCTCAAGCTCCACAGCCTACGCCATCCGAAACACCCGGCGAAAATGGGTGTAGGGTTTAGGCGTTCAAGGCTGCGGTTTGAGGGCCTCGGACTTAGATGGTTTTCGGAGTTGGCATTCGGAGGCCGGATAAACGGATCTACCCTCATATGGGTAGTTCTCTAAATTAGGGCCCCCTTTTAGGTCTCCAATATAATGCGGCACCTTTATCAAAAGGACCCTAAGAGGGACCCTAATTTAGAAAACTACCCATAGTGTTAGCCATAAGGCCCAAACAAAAGAGTCTCACACACCCCCAAACCCTGATTCCCTAAACCCTAAACCCTAAAGCCTTAACCCTAAACCCTAAACCCTAAACTCTAAACCCTGAACCGTAAACCCTAAACCCTAAACCCTAAACCCCAACCCCTGATTCGCTATCCCACGCCTCTCCACTGCTCAGGCATCGACCTTTTGAAAGTGGCTTTGGGACTTGGGGCTCAGATTTCGGGGTTTTGGGTTTAGGGTTTTAGGGTTTAGGGTTTAGGGCTTAGGGGACTTGGGGCTCAGATTTCGGGGTTGAGGCTTGAATTGAGAATTTCGGGCTGGGTGTGTGGGTCTGAGATCTTGAGTTAGGTTGAGGGCTGAGTGTTTTTGTTGAGTTCAGGGTTCAGAGGTACTTAAATTCCAAGCAGTAAGGCAAACCACCGGACGCCCAGACTCTGCTGAGCTTCTTGTGCTTGGGCTGCCTCAGGTGTTGGCATACATCCCCATCACAGCCAACGGTAGTTCAGAACCCAATGCCATGTCCATATTCCATCTGTATACCTCAGGGAACAAGGAGTCCAGAAACAAACCCGTCAGTGTGCTTTGCCAAATCTCACTCGCCTTCCTCAAATTCCACGCTGGGAGCTTCCGACAACAAGAAATCCCCTTCAGCATCCTCCGGCCCTCAAGGCTGAACCCAAACCTCACAGGTAATGCAGGGGCCTTATACTTAGAATAGGGCTTTGGGGCCCCTTATACTATACTTATAGAAATGATGTAGGCCCCTACATTATCCCTGAATCCCTTCACTAAACCCTAAGCGACTAAACCCTAAACCCTAAACCCTAAACCCACCTTGCTCATGTGGATGGCAAGCTCCACCAGACGGTTTGAGTAGCCTCAGCTCCACAGGTTTCAGGCTTGGGATCTACCCATAGGCCCCATAGTCGTTCCTTTTTGTGGCTTATATTTAGGATCCTAGTAGGGAATCCCAAAACGGAACTACTACGGTTGATGGACAAAATCCCCCATGACCTTATATACCTAAACTGTGGGATTTATGGTACTATCCTATATTTGGGTCATGCAGAATTTTGTCCATCAACAGTATGGGGCCTATGGGTAAGACTATTGGATCTAGGGGTTGAGGAACTGAAGCCTTGAGTTTGATGGATTTCGACTCTCTCCCTCCGTGTAGGTTGGACCTGCAAGGGTCTAGGGTTTAGGGTTT